TTTAAAGTCGAAAACTTTCGAAAAAGTTAGAAAAGTGGTTGAAAAAGTCGAAAATTTGGCCATTATGACTCGAAAACAAATAAATTTTTCTACCTAAAATTAAATTTCTTACGTTTTTATTTTTTTTATGCTTACGAATAATTAAAAAGAAGAAAACCTTGGATGAACGCGAAAAAACCCCTTAGAAACGCTTTTTACTCGTTTTTATTCGTCCCTAGTACATGCTCCTAATTACAGTTCGATCAGATCAGCGCCAGGGCTCGGTCGAGATCGGCGATCAGATCATCCGCGTTCTCCAAGCCCACACTGAAATTTGAGATTCAAGATGAATTTCACGATTAGTATCCCAAAAACGTTAGGCGCCTAAGCCAGTTTTTCATGCTAATTTTTGTATACCTGAAGCGCAGCAGCCCAGGGGCTACCATCGGCGGCTCCTCCTCATTCCGGAGCAACTGCTTGCCATGGCTCATCGCAAACGGATGCTCGATCAGCGATTCTGTTCCGCCTAACGACACGGCCAACGTGATCAGGCGTAGGTTCTGAAAAATTTTCAATTGTTCAAAAAAAAATGCCGACACTTTCGGCTCAGAGTTTCGCATGAAAATGCGGGTAATTAGGGGCGACGAGTCGCGCGAAATGTGGCCAATCTGCTGCCCTTGAATGCCCGTTTCGAGCGGAATAGGTTTTTGGCGCCGACCTCGATCAGTTTGATCGCCTTCTCCTCGGTGCCCACGTCGAAGCCGATCATTCCCGAGAAGTTGCCATGCGGGAACAGCTGAAAAATTGGGTTCTTTATGTGGACTTTTTTCGACCGAGGCCAAAATTTTTTCTTAGAAATAGCGGATGCGTTTCTAAATTATGTTTAGCTATTCCTGAGCATAAAAACTATACCAATTTTAGTTAAAAAATTTAATTTTAGATAGAAAAATTGTTTTCTTCAACCCAAAATGACCAAACCTTCGACCCTTTCAAACATTGGTCTAACTTTTCGAAAGTTTTCGACTTTAAATATAGCTAAAACTTACTAAAAACTATGTAAAAACACTTTATATTTGGTTACTAGGCCAACCGGGACCGGCTTTCAAAATAAAAATACGACTTGTTTCTGAAAACCTACTTTCGCCGCGCTTTTGTGTTGCGGGTGGGAGGGTAGGCCAGGGTAATAGCTGTGTGATACCTAAATCGCATGAAATATCCGTTTTTTTATCATATTTAGTGCTTTCCATCGATCGATACTTGCGCCCACCTTGGGATGGGCGTCGAGGTGGCGGGCCAGGGCCAGCGCGTTCTGGCCGATCTTATCCATCCGGATCGCCAAGGTCTTCAGGCCGCGCGTCAGCAGCGCTGCATCAACGGGGCTCTGAAATAGCGTTATATAGACATGAAATTTGCCGCTACTGTGTATTTTTTAGCAAATTTTAACGTGAAAATCGACATGTCGACGATCTTTGTCGTCTCCCTCCGAAATGCGACTATTAACGGAACAGCCTTTGCTATGATGGCATTGAGTCATCCGTGGCCTTCCCGTCCATTAGGACCCCCCGGCCCTATCCTTTACGATCCCTATGGCGCCACCCAAATACCCCCGCCTCAAGGCAGATCCTATCGCCGCTGGTCGGCTTACTTTGGTTAGCACCCTTCAAGGAATGGTTGCCTATCGGAATCTACAAAATCAGAATTGGAGAATTTTCATCCTCGAATTTTCGTCGGCTGAACCATCATTGAGAATCTCTACTTTTTTATTATAGTTGATTCCGGGTAATTAAAAGCCTGGCCTATGAAAATAGAGATTTAAAAAGCTTCCTGAAGCGTTTCCTAAAACTCAGAAATGCTGCCGTACCAATGCACTGCCCGTTGTCAACTGTTGCACCTTCAACCGCGTCCAGTCTTGCAACGAGGCACAGCTCACGCATCCGGCTATCACATCACAGTGCCCGCCCACGTATTTCGAGCTAAAAGTAGCACAGGGGTCAAAAGGAGCGTAACGTAGTCAAGAGTAGTAAAACGAGATTTTTTCGATTTACCAGCTGTGCAGCGAAAAGTCGGCGCCGATTTTGAGCGGCTGGAGCAAGTAGGGCGAGGCGAACGTGGCGTCGACGACCATCTTCAAATCGTTGCGCTTCTTCTTCAACTCGATGATGCCGAGGATATCCGGGACGGCCATTGACGGGTTAGCGATGACTTCCATGTAGATGAGCTAAAAAACGAGATCTACAAGGCGTTATTTGTACCTTAACGTCCGGATCTCCCTTAAATTCAGCATCTACAACCCAAATCAGATGATCAGCTTCATCATAGCCAGACTCCTCACGCCATCCTTTTAAAATCCGATAGATCTCCGTCGCCCATCCGTACAGTTCAAGGCTTTTTGTCTCGCTGACGGGCTCCCGAATGCCCTATCGGGGATACGGCCTTGGGCCAGCCCGAGACGAGACAAATTGCGGTCAGTGGATCGGGCGGAATGTCTCGGAGGGGGACAGGAAGTGGGTCATTGTTTAGGGAGGGCAATCAGTCCATCCATCCATCATCCACCCCGCGTATCACTACCACATCCACCCCCCGGGCTTTTTGCACAATTTGACCCTATTTGGGGGCCGCGGGGGCACGGGCTGGATGTGGATTTAAGGAAAAATCAGAAGATATCATTGAAAATTTGGGGTTCTGGTGCGTTAGCGAGGGGAGAGCGAACTACTTCTCATTCAGGCTATCTTCATAGCACTAAAACATAAAAAAATGTTATATCGTCTGAGTACTTTTTGATTAAAAATAGAATCAAATATCTATTTTATTTTAGAATCAAACATTTTGAAAATTGGAAATTTTATCAAGAAGTCATTGAATTTCTATCAAAAAAAAATTATATTAATTTTTCTGACCTATTATACATCAAAAGAACGTAAACGCCTATCAAAATCGGCTATATTTAGATGGCAACGCTGAAAAGGTCAGCCCCCCCCCCCCCGCTAACAAACCAGCACCGAATCTAATTCTCGCAAAAATATTTACCTTTGTAAAAACCCACCTTTGTCTTCGCGGTGATCGCCTTTTCGACAGCCACGGCATAATCCTGCTCTTTCTCGACGTCAACGAACGTGAAATCCACGCCGAAACGCACCAACGTTTCCGTCATAAACGAGTAGGTCCCGGAATAAAGCGGCTTCATGCACACCTAAATGATATAAAGATCGTAAAAGCGTAATTCACCCCACCACATGATCCCCAGCCGAGAGAAATTCCAGAAGAACGGCCGACACCGCAGCCAACCCAGAGTTGTAAACCATCGTGGCGGCCGCACCTTCCAGATCGGCCAGCACCACTTCTACGTTCTCGACCGTCGGGTTTCCACAGCGGCTATACACATAATTCGAGCCCTATTATTGTTGAACATCAGTAATTAATGCCTCACGTGGTTTGGCTCGTCCCATTGAGCCACAGTCTTGAAGCGATAGGTGGTCGATTGGTAGATTGGCATCACTACCGGGTCGACATTCTGTAAAAATGATCTGAAAATCCGAAGCTACGGCTCTAAACTCACGGCTAACTGCTTTGCTTTCCCGATGGAAAGTCGGCTGTCGATATGAAGCTTCTCGAAGTCATCCCCAAAGCGTTCTTTGGCTTCGTTATTACCTGGCGGCCAATCGGAGGAGCTAAAGATACCTTGAGGGCAGCAGTATTTTATCAAATTTTTCGTTTTCAAATTACCCACCTCATCGCAGCAGTCAATCCAAAAATAATTGTCTGGGCAATGCGCTATCGCTTATCGCTCGATGCGCCGTTCACGTGATAAACCGATCACATAAAATGCAATGACTTCCCCGAGCTCTCCCCTGTCCCAACCCAAGAGAAGAAGTGTAGACACATCTTTTTAAGGATTTTATTATGCAAACTGAAACAACCCGTAAAACCAGTAGGCACAAAGCAATCGACAATTCGAAATACCCGTAGAGGATTACACAGCACGCGGGGTACTACAAACATACAAGAAAGTTTACAGGTCATATTTGGACGGGCTGTTCGTAAGCTTGATCTCGCGGGATTCTAGCCGGGTGCAGAGATATTCGCCGAGCACGGTGCAGATCGTAACGCTGACAAGCTGGAATCGGAGATTCGGAATTCCTCATCGAAATGCATTACCTGCAATAACCACCACAGCAATGAAGTCGGAAATGTCGCATTATAAATGCAGACGAGCAGAAGATGGAACAAGTGTACTGTGCACGCAAAGTCGAGGCACTGTCTTGTCCGTTGCACCTAAAAAGTTCGAGATGACGGGTTTCCTAGTCTTCAGGACGTACCAGATATGAAATCGCCACCGCCACACCGACCGCTGCTACCAACTGGACCAATGCGGTGAAGCGAAGCGGCTGGAAGCTTCCGGTTACTAGAAGAAAGCAAGAACTCCCACCTGTATCGTAAAAATGTGAGAAACGCTTGGTTGATATCCCGTCAATGAATAAGCCATCAACGAAACCGACTGCGCGGAATAGAAGACCGATTGCAGGGCCACCATTTGGCTGATGAGCAGCGTTGGGTCGAAGACAAACGATCGAAAGGAACTCATCTGAAATCAGAATCGTTAGAACATGGTGAAAACAATGGAATCGGAAGTGAAAAAGCCGATTTTAATTTTAAATTTTCTTCGAAGTTTTCAGTTTTACCAAAAGTACGAAATGATACTACAGGCCGACGGGCTCGTTCTTAGTATTAATTTATAGTTTATTTTGAGTTTTAGCTTGTTTTAGATTTTACTAAAAATACTAAATGTTAGAAATTTTAGAAGTTTTTTGTTTCGACGTTGCATTACCAGCTGTATTTTCGTGACGTGTCGTGTGTTCTTTGCGCACCAGACACCGTATCCCTGCACCACCGCCAGGCATGTCTCACCCATGTGTGCATGAAAACAATGTGTCTGAATCAACGTTAAACTTATTAACTTAATTTTTAACGCTTTGATTTAGTAAATTTTATTGTAGAATAATGCGCAGGCTTTAGGGTGAACGATGGCGAAAGACGCCCAGAAGCAGGTCCTCCGGAAGAAGCGGAAAAACACGGAACCTTTGTTAAAGGTACGAGTTCAAAATTTCTTTTGCATACTTCTTTTAGAAAGAACCGATCGCTGATGACGAGGATGTGAAGACCAACGGCCGTGTTTTTGACGAATTCGACTCCAGTGACGAAGAGGTGAGCAATAAATTGATTGCTAAGCTTTTTTCTAGGACTTACGAAATACCATCGGCAATATTCCGGTACAATGGTATGACAACGAGGAACACATTGGCTATGATCAAGATGGGCAAAAGGTTTGTTAAGTCTGCTTTTGAAATCTCTTTCTAGATTGCAAAGCCAAAGAAGGCCGGCGAGATCGACATCTTTTTGCAGAAAATGGAAGATCCTGACTATTGGTATGAAAAATGCATGCAAGTAGAACCTATTTTTTAGGAGAAAGGTCTTCGATAGACAAATTGGCCAGGACGTCACGCTGAGTGAAGAACAGGTAGGATTTGCCTACAATGATCTACAAATCTGCATTTCAGATCGGAAAAATTCGCGCGTTGATGAGCGGAAAGTTCCCGACAGTCGGATACAACCCATACGAGCCGCTTGTTGAGTACTACTCTTCAGTGCCCTCCATCCATCCGATCGATAATACGTAGGAGAAAACAGCTTTATTTTTTTACGGTTTTTAGTCCGCTCTCAAAGGCTTCGTTCCTGCCGTCGAAAGATGAGATGCGCATCGTCTCGAAGATGGTGCATGCCATCAAAATGGGATGGATGAAGACGGAGAAGACCCCAAAACAGACCGCACCCAAGGTTTATGACCTATGGGCCGGGGAGGATGAGAAGAAGTCCAAGACGAAGAGCGAGATGCACCGAATCCGCATGCATATGCCGGCGCCGAAGGTAAAAACCCGTGATAAGCGATGATCCGAAGTTTTGTACAGGTAACTCTGCCCACGCACGCCGAGTCCTACAATCCACCGCAGGAATATTTGATGACGGAGGAGGAGCGGAAAGCGTATGAACTGCAATTTATCTGCATTCTTTTTTTTTCAGTTGGGAAGAACAGGAACCTGAAGAGAGACGCATGGACTTCATCCCCAATAAATTTGATGCATTGCGGAAGGTAGCCGAATATTTTTTCTATTTATTGTTTTTTTTAGGTTCCTCAGTATAGTCGTTTCGTGAAAGAGCGCTACGAGCGTTGCATGGATCTCTATCTGGCACCGCGTCAAAGAAAACTCAAGGTATCTTTTGGGCTCTTAGCAAATAATACCATTCTTTAGCTGAACATCGAGCATCCGGAGCAGCTGCTCCCGGATCTGCCAAACCCGAACGATCTGAGGCCATTCCCAACGACATTGGCTTTCGTGAGTGGTTTAGCGCTTTTCAAAAATTGATTTTTAGTTTATGCGGGGACACACTGGCCAAGTGCGAGCTGTCAGCGTTGAGCCAGAGAAGGGTGAACTGTTGGCTTCTGGTGGACAAGACGGTACGGTGCGCATCTGGCTGCTTGATAATGGGCGCAACATCAAGGTACGCCAGGATTCACGTTAAATTTACCGTTCCTTAGACCTTTGAACTTGGCCAGCCGGTGCTTGGTGTGGCTTTCTGCCCGAACGCCTCGAGAACCCTATTGGCTGTTTCTGTTGAGGGGAAGAAGGTAAATACTCCCATAGTCTGAATACCTAAATTTTTTTAGGTAATCTTGCTGAACACCGAGTGCGGCGACAAACTCCTCGTCTCGCAAACCAAGCAATTTCTGAGCGAAGTAAGCGGGCTATAATAATTTTCCGTTTCGACTTTCTTTCAATCATCAATCAAAAATGTCATTTAGTTGCCGATCGGTATTGAAGAAAGCGAAGCCCCAGTTACTTGGTCGAAAGAAAAGGGTCGTGTGGTTCTGGAAATGAATGCGGTACGGCTTTTGAAAACAACAGTAAGATTTTTTCCAGGAGGTGCGCAAAGTCGTCTGGCACAAAAAGGGAGATTATTTGGCTACTGTCGGGATCATTGACCACGCTTCTTCAGTGGTCATCCACCAGATCAGCAAGGCCAAGAGCCAGGTATAATTTTTCCATTTTGTTCCACTCTGTTTAGTGTCCATTCTCGAAGAAGAAGGGCCTCGTCCAATCCGTGGCCTTCCACCCCACTCAGCCCCAGTTCTTCGTGGCTCTTCTGCGTCATGTTCGCATCTACGACTTGGCCAAGTAGATCGAAACTGCTTTCTTTGATCCCCTCTTTCAGATGCCAGCTTCTCAAAAAGTGCACGACAAACAGCGGACATCTGAGCGTTATGATCCCTGATAATTATGGAGATGTAAGAGAATCGAAAAATCAACTATATTCTTTTTAGAACCTCTTTGTTGGTGGTCTCGATCGGCGCTTCGCCTGGCTTGATCTCCAATTGTCGACTCGTCCCTGGAAGTCGTTGCGGCACCACAAATCGGCCATTCGAGGCATTGCATACCATTCCAAGTACGAATTTTATAATTATTGACAATTCTTTGCTCAGATATCCGCTGCTTGCCACTGCCTCCGATGACGGAACAACGCTTGTCTACTATGCAAGAATACACCACGATACTTTCCGCGATAATGAATTGGTGCCGGTCAAGCGACTTGGGTATTCTATTTCTCCCTACTTTTTATAAGTATTTTTAGCGCCCATAAGAAGGTCGATGGGTTGGCCATCCTTGACACTGTCTGGCATCCAACGCAACCCTGGCTCATCACGGCTGGTGCTGACGGAACGATTGCTCTATGGAGCTATTAACGTCTTCGTTTAGGAGTTTGATTGTTGACGATTGTTACTTGTTGATTTTACTGTTATCCATTTTTACATTTGATAAATTCTTTTCTTCAATTTTGTCGCTGTCGTGCCGATTTGGTTGAAAGAGCCAAACTACCTGATTCTAGCTCGGAACTACCTCTTCGACGTAACTTTCAATGCGCGGTAGTAAATAGTTGGAGTCTAGATGTCATGGCTTTCAAAAGTCACGGACATGGCCGGCCGAGCCGAGGAGATGTTGAACCGACTGGACCAGAGCGCTGGTGATGATAAGAATAAAAAGCTAAATGATTTGTGTAGGTGAGGTAATTCAAAACACCGTGGAGAAAGCTCGCTCTTCGTCCCGCTCGACCAGTTATCAACGCCTCGATCATGATGTCTCGGTCCGTTTCAAAAGTGATAGCTTAAAAAATAGTCTAGATTCCGATTACCGAAGAGACTGGTCTGCCAATGCCTTCTCAAACTCACTCCGAATATGTTACAAAGACAAGGAAGCCAAACAGGTGGAAATGGCTAGAGAATTTCATAATCTTTTCATGCAGCTCCCGACCAAGCACCTCAAACATTGAACAGAATGAGTTCATCACCATGCTTGCCGACGAGCCCGGCCATCGCTCAAAAAGTCATGGAGCTCCCAGCAGGTGCGACAAAATTATTAGTTTCATATCGTTGTAGTCATCACGACGCTTTCCCTCGCGAGACTGCACAACACGTGTTACAAGAGGAGAAAAGCTTCAAGGGCTCGAATCAATCGATTGATTCCATTGCCGGTAAGCCGCTTGCCTGTTAGCTAGCCCTGTTTTACAGCCTCGGAGGCTCCAGACACCTCGGCGATGCGCGGCCAGTTGTTGGCTAAGGATTCGCAGATTGCGATGCTTCGGAATAAGCTGACGGTATTTACTGGCTGGCTCTATAATTTGTGTCTTTTAGGAAGTCGAGCGCAAGCTGGAGAAGAAAAACGAGGAGCTATGGGATATGAAGCATGAGAAGGAGAGTCTGGAGACGGAAGCCGCAAAGCGACGCACTGAGCCGAATGAGGGTAGAATTGCCCTGCAATAAATTATATCCGGCCTAGGTATGGAGGAGCTGCGACTGGCCCGCCAGAAGGCCGTTGATGCTCGCGAGTCGGTTGTTGCCGAGAGTAGCCAGCTTCGTAAACGTCTGATCGCGATCGAGGAGGATAATAGCACGTTGCAAGACCAGGTTTGTTGGCTTTCAAGCTCCCATTTTCTCGTTCAGCTTCGTCTCGCGAAATTCAACTTGGCTGAGAACAAGCGGGAGTTTGACGAATACAAGGACAAGGCCGCAAAGATTTTGTTTGCTAAAGAGAAGCTCGTCGACTCGCTGAAGCAAGGGGTAGGTTTTTAAATACCAGTCGGTACGATTATAGTCGTTTCAGACGGGCGGCCTCACTGCTACAAATGTCACGCCCGCTGAGCTCGAGGAATTGAAGGTGGAGAGGTAACCTGACGTCTGGTTCGTCAAATATCCTTTAGGGACATGGCAAGGGCCGACCTGGAAAGTTGCCAGTTGCAGCTGTATAACTTGCGTAGTGAAATGGACGAACAGGAAACGAGGACCAGGGAGCAACAACGCGAGTTGTCGGACGAAAGGCGCTCTCTAACCGAAGAACGATCGCAATGGAACATCACCCTTCAGATGCTCAACGAAAAGCTGGAATGTGCCAAGTCGGGGTTGCTCTAGTTAAAAAACTTTACATTTAGGGTCGAGCACGAGTTCACCAAGGCTGAACTCCGTCGCCAGGAGCTGGAGTTCCAGAAAACGCTGGAGGAAAAGGAGAAGGAGCTCCGCCGTACGGTTGAGGAGGCGCGGCAGCGGAAGTAGGGAACTTTTGCTTTTTTCATAGTTTGGTTTAGGCGTGAAGAAGAGTACCGGGTTCACCAAGGGCCTGGTGACATGGCGTCTGCGGAGAAGCTGCTCCAGAAACAGGTCCGCCGAGTGATTATTTGTTGAAAGCTTTTTTTAGTCTGAACTAGAGCAGTTGCACCGCGATAATCAAGTCCTCACCCTTCGTCTGGAGCGACTTCAGGTCTGGCAAAATAGGTTTAGAAATGTTTTTTCTTCAGAAAAACAGCCAAGAAGTCTCTGTCCCGATAAACGACCCGATCCAGCCGGCTTTCCGCGGCTCGCTCCAAGTTCAAAACGCTCATGCCAGAACGGCCGTCAACGCTGTTGACTCTGTAAGTTTCTTTTTTTTGCTGTTATTTATTACTTTGTAGGTCTGCTACAAATTCGTGAGCGTGATCCGCGGATCACCAACCACCCGACTGGCTTCTGCCATCTACTTTGTGGTGCTGCACTTCTGGCTCTTCTTCATCATAATGACCTACACCCCCGAGGCCCACGACTCGGCCTCGTTCCCGGCTGCCGAGCAACATCCCACAACATAATACACTCACCACATTTTTTTTGGTCTTTTGTGTCCCTTAGTCTAGTTCAAAACCTGTGATATGATTCTTTGTGTGATATCGAACTTTTTCCCCCTGCTAACGCCTTGTGTTGCAAATATACCGCTGTCGCTAATAATCTTACTTGGGAATCTTGGGGTATGTGCAGAAGATAAACATTTATTCCGAAACGTTAGTTGGTGAGGAATTGGTTTGGTCCCGACTGCTTTTCTTGAAAATATTTTTAATTTAGAAAAATGGATTTTTTTGTATTGATAACACTAATTTTAGAATGGCCAGCAAAGTTCCTCCTTCGCTCAAGGCAATCGGTCATTACGTGAAAATCGCCAATGAGAATGCCAGCCGCGACCCTGTGATCTACTACTGGTGTAAGGGCAGTCCCCTTTTCCCCCACGCCAGTTTTAGGTCTATTTCATGCAGTTCAAGCCGGTATGCAGATCGACAAGTCGTCGCCAGATGCTTTGAATGTAATTATACATAGCCGTGACCTCGCATTTAATTTAGTTCCTCACTTCCCTTCTGGGCACCCTCGAGACTATCAAAAAACAACTCGGAAACAACGATGCGATTACGAGCGAGGTATCACTTAATTGCGCAAAGTTTGACGGCTATTTTATCGTAGGTGGTCGCGCAAGCCTACATCGAAAACGTCGCCATGAAGCTGTTCGACTTTGCTGATAAGAAAGAAAAGGCTGGGCAAATTGACAAGAACCTCGTTCATGCTTTTTACACAGCCGGACATATGATGGATATTCTGTCGTTGTTTGGAGAGGTAGCAATCAGCAAAACCACGCTTCATTCCGCATAGATCGACGAGCCCTACGCATCTGCGAAGAAATATGCCAAATGGAAGAGCACACAGATTTTTGGTTGCCTAAGGGATGGAACGCCTTATGTTCCGAGCACGCAAGAAGGTACAATTAATTGCCGGGTTTCTATTCCGTTTAGAGCGCCCTCCCAGCTTCGACAATACTGCCACTCACCACTCGAGCTCGGACACCGGAAATCCCTTCGAGCACACTTATCCGGGAAGCACTGGAGACTTGCAACGTTGGTTTTTTTTACTTGAAGAAGAATTTTTCAAAGCACTAGCTGTTTGAAATTGCATTATTTTAGAACCCACGTCCAACTACCCACCGCCTCTCCCGCCTCACCCCTCGAGTTATGGCCACCCAACTCCACCGCCAGCGGCTCCTGCGAGACCGAGCCCTCCAATGCAGTCGCATATCGGTAAAAAAACGAGGAATTCTCGAAATATTCTTTAGATAACAACAGCGAAAAAGTGATTGGCGGGCCATCCTTTGAGGAATGGGAACAAGCTCGCAAATTCGCCAAGTATGCCATCTCTGCGATCGACTATGAGGATGTGAAGTCAACGGCAGACAATCTACGCAAGGCCCTCGCCGTCCTTGCTAAGCATGACCACTGATCTGTATTCGCATGTACTTACCAATATGTTCTTAGATTTGTATTTTTCCAAAGAAGTGCTGTCAATAAATATCTCTGGAAAAATCACAGTTTAATGGACCGGGCCATGCAACAACGGCATTAATTTCGCTCATCGATATACGATTTCGGAAAGTATTAGGCCTCACTGTCGTCGATATCATTTTTGCTTTCAGAGCCCGAATGGGCGAGCGAAAAAACGCCAAGCGGAAAATGGAACAACGGCCTAACAAGAATAACCCCTTTCGAAAGTAGGTTTTGTTCGATTAATCCGCCTCTTAGGATAGCTTACGAAAACTGCTGTAAAATCGCTGTGTTTCAGGCTCTATAAGGGCATTCGGATGGCAAAAGCCTGGCGAAACGAAAACGCAACAAGTAAATCGCCCGATAACGAAGATTCCGGTGTGACCCCGGAGCCTTACCTTGGGGTATGCATAATTTATTTATCGGAAATTTTTTTAGAGGACGTTAAGTGAACTCAACATGGTTGACCCCTCATTTGATGGGTCTGCACTCCCGGCATTATTACGCTACTGCATCGATTACGTCGAAGAATATGGTATCCGTCTGCTCACAAGTCAAAAACGTTTTAGGCCTTGGGCTGGAGGGCATTTATCGGGTGTCCAGTCCGAAAATTCGCCTCGATGAGCTGGAGCGTGAAACGGCGTGGCGCAACCACCCATTGTCATACAAAATTCCACCAATCACTGACCAATTCCAAGAAGCACACGAAGCGGCCGGACTTTTGAAGGTAATTCAAGGCAAAGTGCGGCTTCATTTCGACCGTTTCAGCGTATCCTTCGTGCTTTTCCCGATCCTATCATCCCACTCGAGCTCCAGGGGCTCGCCGAAACGTGCGGATGTCGTTTGGATTGCGCTTGTGGTAAGGATTGTCATATCTTATAATTCCTGTTGCAGACACTGGTGAGCGCATGCGCGTTGCCTTGAAGACCCTGTCGCCTGACACCTTGGAGTTGATCGCCGCGATCTTTGTGCATGCGGGAAACGTGGTGTCAAATGTTGGTTATACGTTCGCTTCCCCTATTTTTATTTAGGAGCACCGCAACAAAATGGGCATCCCGGCAATGACGCTGCTGCTCGAGCAAAATCTGAATTCAACGCGCCGGAGTGTGTGCATGTTGTTGGCCGGCCAGGCGGCGGGCGCACGCAGCTTCTTCCCCGACTACAAGATCATACGGTACTTTTTCAGGATCGTGATTGGGTGAAATTAAATGTATGGCGAAAGTCCCGGCCTTGCCGATAAGGCGTAATAATTTATTTGGTTTTGATATTGCACCTGTTCACCCGAAATTAGCTATGCCTGGCGTCTGGCCTTCTAGGTCCTGTTCTCCTCTGGCTGCCCCGTTGACTGTTCAGCTCAATCTCGACCATTCCGTCGTCGACGGGCTTCTTTTTGGGCCCGGAGTTTGGGTCTCTGGCGGCCCGCTTTTTCTAAGGCGAAATTAAAATGAGAAGGTAAAATGAGCAATATACCTTCATGTATATGAGGACAGCAATTAATGTGATTATCGTCACTAGGGAGATGCCGACCAACGCCAGCGTAATCCCTAGCCATTCTGCGTCGTCTTTTCGCCTCAATGTGTCTAGGTGGACGTCGTCGGTCTATAATGGGGTTAGGTGCCCTTGAATAGAGTACATTTTTCCTCGGGTTATTTTGATAAAACCGAATTTGATAACACGGCATTTTAAAATGCCGAATTTTCCTCATACCGAATTTTCACAACGCCGAATGTTTCTAACGCCGAATTCGTGAAGACTTGCATAATCCATAAACAAAATTGGGTATTATCAAATTCGGCGTCTTAAAAATTCGACCTTTAAAAAATTCGGCGTTTTGTAAATCTTACTTTTGTGACATCGTACGCAGGCCTTGGGGCGTCTTCTTTAAACAAAGTTTCGTTGCTTTCGCCCCCGACGAGAATATCAGGCTGAACATTTTGTTTAGCTTTTTAGGTGTTTGTTACCAAAACGAATTTTGACGATGTCTCCGGCTCGGTGACGTCCATTTCGGTTGTAGTAGTGGGTTGACCAGTCGTTGTATCCATTGCCGCGCCATAGGGCTTGAAGCTATCTGGCTCAAGCTCGAACAGTAATGACCGCCGTAGGGAATAGGGTCGATCGCATTTCTGGGTGGGATCAGATTATTTTTTACTAGCGGATTACCGTATTATTCTGCTCATTCAGCAAGAAATCCATGCCCATTTTCGCCGAGTTCTTATACCGGTCTTTTGTGGCGCTTACGACTAAAGCGATTGATTTGGTATTTTTTTCGAAGCACTTACATTTTCCTAGTTCTAGATCGCATCTGTAGGGGTTTCCAGAAATATCCAGGAATTCTAAGGAAGGCAAGGATTCGAGAATCTATAAAAATATGGCTTTGTCGAATTCACAAATTAATTACCCCGGCATCAATCGTGCTGAGTTGGGATTTTTCCAGCTTCAGGGTCTTTAGTTTCTTTCCTCCATCCGAGAAAGCTTTCGGGTTGAGGCGGGTTAAGTTGCCGCGGGATATGTCAAGGATCTGGGCCGTCAGGATTGAGTTACGCGCAATTCGATCACCTCTAAGGATGGGAGGTCCCGGAACACGGCTTCTGGCAGCTCGAGTAGATATTCCGATTCGCTGAGGTTGATTTCGCGCAGATTGCGTAGTCCAGTGATATTGGAGACCTGATGGTTAGGCATAAATTTAGCACAAAATCAAGAAAAAAGATCCTCGGAGTTGCAATTAGCCTAGTAGATTGTGAAAACTTACATCGTTTAGCCTGTTATGACGAAGGTTCAACTTCACTAGGCTTTTAGCGACCGGATTAAATGTATCGTTTGGAAACTGCTTAAGTTCATTCCAACCGAGATCAAGCTCTTCCAACGAGTCGAGCCCATCGAACGTAACGGCCTTGAAAACTCGTTTGAAACGCTTTTTCTTACTGACCTCAATTGTTTTGATGTAATTGCCTGCCAATGAAAGTCGCTTCAAATTCGTGAGGCCGTCAAAGGCAAAAGCGGAAACATTTTCGATCAAGTTGACGCGTAGATCTAGCTTAAAAGGGGTTAATATTCTACTACGTTTTTTCCACCCACTTGCTCTAATTTTGGGGCGACGTTGAAGGAGCCGGCCTCGATTGTCTCGATGCTGCATCCGCTCAATTTTAGTGTTTCGAGATTCGGTAGTTTAGCAAGATGATCGGTAGGTACGGTAAATATGCCATCGGCTCTTGACAGATCCAGGCTCTAAAAGCTTTTCTGTCCAAATTACGTGAGAGAAAAAGGTTGCAGTATCTATGCCTACCTTTAGCTTCTTCAGCTTTTCCACCTCTTCCCAAACGGTCTCATTCATGAAATTGTGCTCACAGAGCAACAGTTCTTCCAACGACTCCAGTCCCGCAAAGGCATCTTCCTCGGCATAGTTTATGAAATTGGCAGAAAGATCCAAATATCGTAGCTGATCATCAATTATTTGAGAACTAAGCAATTCCCTACATGCGCCTTCTTTGCGAGGTCCTCCTTGCTGATGTTGTAAATCTTGTTGTCAGACAGGTCAAGAATTTCTACATTTTCTAGCGGTCGAACGGCTTCGGGGATCTAAAGCTTTGGGTTTTCACTTATAGATATTCTCACAAATTCCAATCGACATCCTGACACGGTGAAATTGAGAATTTTCTGTTCAAGACCGCTGAGCGCTTTCGGATCGATCGTTAACTTTTCAGGACATTCCCTATAATTTATGTCATGCAAGGCTAGGTGCAGCTACCGTATTTCCAAGCTCTGCAGCTCTGGGGCGATCTTTGCAAAATATCCCTCTCCTAGCTGACCGTTGGGGATCGACATATGCCGAATGCTGATCTGAACAACACTTTTTTTTATTGTTTTGCTCGAGAATATTCCAAAATCTCGCAATTTGAGAATCTGGCAACTGCAAAATCGGAGTCTGGCATTCAGGGGAGCTCCGGAAATGCAACTCGTCCATGGGAATTGCGAGATTATGAAAATTCGAGATTATCGAGTTGCGAGATTCTGAAAATGCGTTTCTGAAATCGCGAAATTCTGATACCAAATAGTTTTGCTCACTTGGGTAATCGTCTGATTTGCCTTTTCCACCAACATGGCGGCTTTTCCCAGATGCTCGGGGGTGCTGTCGTAGAGACATTGCACCGCAACACCCTCCCTTTCGGTGACCTAAATTTAACAAATCACCTTATCATGGGAAATGGTCGGGTGTGGGTGGTTGCCAAAAATTGCCGGACCGCTTCAATGGCTATTCTGGATGCCAATTTTCGATTTGCGCACACATTTTCGAAAAGCATATTTCCGAAAAGCACTTTTTAGAAAATCATTTTTTTCAAAAGTTTTTGATCCGAAAGTCATATTTTCGAAAATCAGTTTTCCAAAAATCAGATTTTCGAAAGATTTGCGGCCAGCTATAAATGGGAAATAGCCACAAAGGCATGAAACAGCAATGTAGATTTTTGCACTTCTGGCTTTCGGAAAGTGATTTTCCAAAATATTACTTTTCGGAAATATGACATTCGAAAAAATGCTTTTCCAAAAACAGATTTTCGAAAAACTGATCGCCAGCCCAATTTGCACCCAGACTCACCTGGCAAAAACATAGTAGCGGATCAACGAGTGCATCTCGTGAAATTTCGACTGTTTTTGCGAAAACCTCCGCACTAGGGCATCCGGGAATTTCTGGAGGTCCCTTTAATGCAATGGCCGTTCCAAAATAGCAGAGTAGACATGAAAAAAGTATCAGGTAGTATTTGGGAGCTGTTCGCCCCAACATGGACATCGGACGGCGGGGGCTGTGGAGTGTGGACGGGGGATGTGGGAGTCGCACATGGGGAGAAAGAGGGGGGAGCTCTGTCTCGCATCTCCTCTCTTCTATGGAATGTCTTTCGAGGAGGAGGAGGAGTCGGCACTACGGGGAGGGGAGATCAACCTGAACCTGTTTTCTTCTGCATACTTTTCGTCTCTGCCCGCGCTCACCCCGTCGCGCACCCTCTTGTCCTTTGGCATCGGCACGCCTTGTTGTTCGTGTTGCCGGATGAGGCACCAAAAATTTAGGCTCGATGACTCAGCATTACCTACGCACGTCATCCTGTCTGCTTGACCTTCTAGATTAGCGGGTTCTGGTTTGTTAGCGGGGGGGGCATTTTTTGCCAATAGCTTCTCTTATCTTAAATTACTGTATATTAAACTCCTCAATTTATTTTCTATTGTTTGATGTTCTAAAAAAATAGCTGACCAACTCCATGTCAGGGTTATTTTGGCTTTGTGATAATTTCTTTAATTATTGTGTTTAAAAGCTTAGTATATTTTTTTGATTCTGGCCGGGTCGCGATGATGGAGCCCAAAAACCGTGAAATATTGGAAAATCTACGACATTCACGCCCCCCGCTAACAAACCAGAACCGATTAGCGGCTCTTGAAACTCCAAATCTCCTTATCCGTCTTCGCTTCATGTTGATCCGCAACAAGAAATTTACAATTTCGGATGTCCCTGAATTGTTGCTCGTCGATGCGCTGGGCGAATGGCCGAGAACTCGACGATGAAGAGCTGATTTGGGTGAATAGTCCTGGGTCAGAATCGTTATCTGTTGGCTTTGGCTTGCCTTAACTAACGCCAATCATTTAACCCCAAATCTATATCGAGCCTCTTGAAGTTCTCTAAGAGATTAAATACCATTTTTCAGCTACGTACCGCCACGCCTTGATCTGACGTCTGATTGGGTGTGCAACGACCGCGAGCTGATCGTGGAAGAGATGCGCCGCCAGCAGCGGTTCCTGGAGCATCTCCATAAAACGGTAGGATCCCTGGAAAAATGCAATTTTTTGAGATAGATCTCGACGCTGCCTGATGGTCCAGTCCAAAAAGAGCTCTCCGAGCAGGCCTGGAAAACTCAGCGCACCATCACGTTTCTGACTAGACGCCGTGCGCTTGTCGAATGTAAGGACAAGGTAGACACGCTGTCAAAGTCCTCGGCATCGGCGGTGCGCAGAGCCATGTTGGAGGTAACGAATTATTTTTAGTCAGCACCTAAAAGATATTATTTCAGGAGAAACAAGTTCTGGCCGTCCGCTGCTCGCTGCTCGAAGACATCTCCATCGAACGGGCTCGAATCGCCCAGCTTTGCTACAATCAATCGTTCGAGGATCGTTCGGCCAGTGAGGTATTGAAATATTTGAATAGCGTTTTAGGCCTTTAAAAAGGTTAAAAATAAAAAGTTCAAGCTACGACAAATTTTTCCTTTGGTCATATGGTCATTTTTTCTGTTTTTTTTTTGTTTGTTTGTATTCGTAAACTACTAAAAACTGTAAGGTTGATCGAATGGAGGTTGGGCTAAATTAACGAACCCCCCCGCTAACGAACCAGAAGCAGTTAACCATTTTTCTCAGGCTTCAACCCCCACATTGGCTGATGCTACTCGCGAGGATGCGGAATTGGAGCTGGCTGCCCGGACGGCCCTCTTGGCAGAGGTTCGGCTTTTTTGTTTGATTCAATAATTATCATCTTCAGAACACCCGCCTTCGCAACGAGTGTGCCAGCCTGCGCGCTGCAATCGAAGATATCCAAGAGACGGCTCGTCAGGCCCTCGAAAAACAGAATTAAGACAAAAATCCTGTGATCTTTTCTTACTGCTCTCATTGCTCCTCTTTTTCACTAGTCGACTTTAATGCCATGTGATGCTGACCGAATGTCGGAACGACGGGCCCCTAATATTTTCCAACTATACTGTGATTTCCCTCCCGAATGCTCAGCTGATATCTCACTTTCCCCCTTCCACATATCAACACTGTGATTTTCCAAACTGTCCATCAGCGCATAATATTTGTAAGCGAAATTGGGTAACGGCATAAATCGTAAATGATTTATATTATAATTGTCATCGGTTTCAACTGAACGAGTCGCTAACACCTATTATTGATCGAATTTCCGTACTATGTGGAGGGATTTCATTTGTTTTCAGTTCGCACAATCAGATGTTCCGAAAGCCAAAAGCCAAGACGAACGTGCGCAAGAAGGTCGAAGACGATGAAGAGCAGGACCATGAAGAAGCTAGTAAGTCCATTTTTCGTTGCTACGAACCCGGGCGGAATTGCTCTTGAATTTCCTCATGTTGCAGATACTTCAAAGATTGAGGACATCAAGGACGTCCAACGAGCCCGTGAGCGCAAAAATGGGTTGAATGAGGTCGAGTGCGCGGTGGGGAGAGATCGAGCCCGGCAGCTGACTTCTGGAGATGAAGTGCAAGTGAGTCGAATTTTTTATTTGCAGGCGGCAAGGTTTTTTCGTGGCCAAGTAGGGCATACTATTCCCTTTACCAGAAAATCGGAAAAAGCCAGAAACTTAAAAAAATGCGTGAAATGAAGGCTTTGTTGGGGGAGCAGAGTTCAGCTAAAGGGCCGCTTCCCGAGGGTTTCTAGAGAGCACAGCTTATCCTAGTTTAGCATTCCGTGTTTCGATAATGAGTCCAGCTTAAAATACTTGGCAATACCTGAACATTTTTAGATGACTGGCGGCGGGATATCGATCACACCGCAACAAAAAGCCAAGCTCGAAGCCAAGGACATAGAAAAGGGAATGAAGGACCAATTCGAAAAAGAATCTTTGCTCAGGTTGGCTTAGTATTGATTCTCTGAGATCCTGTGATAGAGATGAGCACGAAGAGCTGCGAAAATACGTTGAGAGCGGTCTTCATGGCGGAGCCAAATTCGCGGCCCCCGCTCAACCCAGCAGCAGCCCGGCTACCACGAAAACGTGTTGTAAGCTCTTGCCGGATTTTCAAAAACTTCCAATTTTTAGCCGATGTCGCACTGGCTCGTGCCGCCTCGATGGTCGCCAAATTCCGGAGTCAAGAAAGTGGCGAGCTGCTGAGCAACCAAATGTTGGCCGGCATCCCGGAAGTCGATCTGGGCATCAAGTAGATTCATTTCTCGCGCACGCTTGATTCAACACTTATAGCTCGCGAATCACGAACATCCTGGAGACGGAGAAGCGCAAAAAGCAGCTGCTGCAACTCGCAATTTTAAAGGCGAAGACTAAAGGTTGGCTATTTGAAGCGATGAAGACACCTTTTTACAGATTTACCTGTTGTGACGACGGACGTGGAAGAGGCGGCGGCGAAACGGAAGCGCTTTTCAACCGACGTGTACCACGATTGACCCCCGATCTCTTATGAAGCGCTTTTACGTTGTAATCTACTGTTGTATAAAAGTACGTGCACCGGAGTTTGAGATGAAAAACTGCCAACAACACTCTAAAAATACAGTACAAAACGCTAATATTTTTGCTAGGGGGTTTCAAAAGGATGTCAGCCAGGCGCGCTAGAGTGCGCCACAATACACGTGGACAAGTTGTTTTTTAAGACTTTTGTTAAAAGTTTTGAACATTTTTGAAAAGGTAAAAAACTTTGTAGACGAAAATAGTGGAACTTTTAATGAGTTAGGGGGACATGTAGGGTATCAAAATGAAGCTCTCAAAGTGCGCTATCAAATGCATCATTGATCCATTTAACTAGCCTACTGAACCCTCATAACTTTTTGTATTTATTAAATGTAATGCTGTTTGCCAAAGATAATCATGTTACAATTTTTAACTATATTAACGTAAAACGTGCAGTTACGGCCGACTTTGCAAGATGCCAAAAAATTTTTTGATCGGGATGCTCAAATTCTTGATGCCACAAGTTAGAAGTTATCTAATTATTGCTAACTGCAAAATATCAGAAAGATCGGATGGTAAGGAAATTTTATCTGGAATTTTTCTTCAAAAAGTCCGGATTTTCCGAAGACTAGAAGGTTTTGGAAGAGTGACAGTCTGTCTGTCTGTCTGTCCGTCTGTCTGTCTGTTTCTCCCTCCCTCTCTCCCTCTCTCTCTCTCCTTCTCTCTACTCTCGCCCTCTCTCTCTCCCTCCTTTGTAAATATTTTTTTGCGAACGACCGACTGGCTGGAATGTGATAGTATTTATTGCGTAAAAGCGGGGGGCCGTGGGCCGGATGGTGCAGTGAAGCAGGTTAGAAGGCATTTAAGGGGGATATCGTCGACGAATTCCATCGAAGTCGCAGCCGGTCCGTTGGTTCGTTGGTTTGGAGAGTGGTGTCGGGCGCATTAGGTGCCGGCCATGGTTCCTCAAATCGTGTATCGTAGAACAAACTCGGGGCAAACTCTAGTTTATCCCGTCCAGGCCCTGGCTTTCCATCCATACGTCCTATTAATGTTCCGAATATCTCAAAATGTTCGCCATAGTCGAATCTCTACAAGGTGTGCCAAAAAAGGACCCCCTCTAGCGGTCCGCAGCGCCGCCCGATTTATACGGTTTAAGTATCTATCGCAAGCTGAGGAGATATGTTCTCTCTGATTTGTGAAATTCCCGAATTTTTAACCCCATCTTTATCGTTTTCTGGACATAGTCTAAGCAACTTTCTGCAAAAACTCAATTTAATCGGCTTCAGTCTCATCCAAGCTGTGTCTTCTCAAATGCCTTCAAATTGCCGACCTTTCGCTGCCAGAAAAGATGTAAAAATTTGAAAAATGGGGTGTTGTTAAAAACCACTTGCATGGGGGGAAAGCATCGGAAATTCAGCGAATTTTGCAAAGAGCGTTAGTAATTGTCATAAAAATTGGGGCATTTTGAAGATCGGAAAGCAGATGTCTCCTCAGCTCGTCGAGACCTTTCGATAGATACCTAAACCGTCAAAATCGGACAGCACTGCGGACCGCTGGAGGGGGGTCTTCACCTGTATTGCCAGGTGGTTTTCTTATGTCACAGTGCTAGAAATATTTTTCAAGATTTCAAGGTTGAAAATATTAAGCCGTAAGGCGCCTTACTAGGTCTCGTCAGGTTTTGGCGATGACTAAAAAAAAGCACTCGTTGTCAGGCGCTTGCGCCGCCGGCTCAATGAGGGGAATAAAGTCAGTAGCTAGCGCTGCAGGCCCAAATATTCTAGTTTAAAGGGATGACGACGACATAGCCAATCGGTTACGCGCTGGAAAGGAAACGTCTCCGCCCTGTTCGCTACTTGCCAATTTGTTGATGGGGGGGGATGGACGCATGCCGTCGGCAGCCCTTTAACCCAGGCGCTGGCGCCGCTGGCCAAAGAACGGGTCCTTGAGTCAGGTTCTTGCGCCGCAGGCTTCAAAAACGGAAACAGAATTCATGATTCCTAGCCCGAGTCCAGTGGAAAAGGGTCGCGAAGCGGCCTTTTCCACTGGTCAGAAATCATATTCACCTTAGTCGCGGGATAGATTACCTGATCGATTAGCCGTTGGGTGTGTTGCTTGGGGTCATTGAGCGCGAGTATTATCCGAATGCCCGTCTCAAACACGCGCTTCGTCCTTCCGGGCAGGCTGCTGCGAACACTCCCCACGCTATCCACCACGTACATCTGTATAGTTGGGGTTACTTTCAAAATGTCGAAATTTTGCATAAGTAAATTTCCCGGAAAATCACCCAAATCCTACGCAATAAAATGGGGACATTATGATAGCAAACAATCGCTATTTAACGGCGCATTCTCACGTGGGCGCTTCGCGCTTCTCGGGCGCCCCGATTTCTAGAGGAGCTACCATAATCAGCAAAATGTCATAGCCATGTTTCATTGTATCGACGATTGAGACCTGAATAGGAGCGGAGGGCGGTGAGAGAGTGAAGACAGCAATTAGTCGATTTAACATCACATCCATTTCGCGTTGATATTCGGCACGATCCTCCTGAATTTGTATATTGCAACGGGGCAGGTTAGCAGAGCTCCTTTGATAAACGGAGGAACGGAAGGAGGCAAAGGTAAACAGAAATTCTTTGACGGTGGAAGCTGGATACCTTTGACGCGTCGATATGGTAGAACAGGGTGCGAAATGCGATAACTTGTCGCCGCGCGCCGGATTGTGTATTCTAAAAAAAATGGAAAGCATGGGTAACAGTATAGAGCCATTTTTACCCATAAAAACTTTGTGCTACCAAATTTTCTAAGCAAAATATTGTAAGACTAAAAAGTTATCGCAAAAAAATGATTTTTGTTTTTGGGAAACCCTGGTCCCATGGTCTTTTTCGGGTCGGTTTATGCCAAGTTTGATATGAAAAGTGATGAAAAGTCCCAATTTAGACATGGTTTTCATAAATCAAGAAATTTTGCTGGGTGGAACAAGAGCCCTCTTCATTTTTGCTAAACTGCAAACCTAATCCATCCAAATCCTAGTGAAATCTAAAAGTTAACGGTAAACCTTAATTTTGCTTAGAAAATTCGGCTGCGCATAGTTTTTATGGGTCCCCATCGCTGGTAAAAAATTTGGTCCCGATCGGATGGAAGACGGTCAAGTGCCGATGGGGGGGGGGGGGGTACAACCTGTATGCGGCAATACCTTAACGATCTCTCGAATGAGTTGCTCAATCACCGTCAGCGATCCGAGACAATCCGATTTTTCGCAATACATTTGATTGAGGCGCAGACGCGGCACTGTCTCCAACTGAAACAATCGACGTGGCCGGAATATTTTCAGTTGGCCGCTGCGCGTAATGTCGCATTTCAAAATTCTCGGGTTAGAGTTTCTACATTTCTACGTTTCTTTTAAGATGGGTAGGCCTACGTCCTAGCATCCCATTTGATGTCCCATACCAGCTATGACATTGAGGGAGTGGAAACATCGATTTTTTTTTCGGGGTTGGCCAAAATTTTGTTCCTACTTTGGGCCCGTATAACTTTTGACAGAGGCATAATCGACCATGCGTTGCCATGTACGAATTGGTTAAATATGCCTGGAACGTCGATTTAAGTCAACTTGATTTTTTCAATTTTCGGCAACGTACCAATCCAAATCGGAAAAAACGTGCGCCGGCTTTCTCCCGCGTACTAGTGATGGAATCGTCAGGGTTTTTGGAGTGTAATTAGTTACTACTTGTAGCTATGTTCACACAAAATGTTCGATTTGATGAAGCAGGAAAAAGTTAGTTAAAATGCTAAAGAAATTCGATATTAAACTTTCAAAAATGTGACCCACATCTTCAAATATTCTGAGATTTTACCAAGGAGCAGCTACCGCTTACATCCAATTACACTCCAAAAATCACAACGTTCCCGCCACTAGAACGCCGGAAAACTTCGACGCACGTTTTTCTTCTTCCGAATTTGGGGCCGATTGGATGTAACACGGCGAAACAGATGGTTCGCTCATCTTGGGACACCCTGTATTTGTGGGAGCCTGTGGTGGAGGATACCTTTGGAAGGGCGCGCATGTAGATGTCCAAGTAATCGGCTGGAGAATATTTGCCGGCCGGCCAAAGGCAAAGCTGAAACACAATGAGGGGATTATAGCGCTGAAGTGGAGGGATTTGGCGTTAAAACGGGCATTGAGACATTCGTGGGGGGAAATTGGTGGCCGGTGTCTGTCGGGGGGGTCAGTGACAAGGAATGTGTCTGAGGTTCAAAATCTGGTAGAAAAATTGGCGCTTCCAGGTTAACGGCAGGCGGTTATTAGTTGGAATCCCCTTCCCTTTTCCCCCTTTCTTGCCCCTGTACGACGCGCAACTCGTGGCGCCCGTACCCCGTCCTCTTTCCACCCGCCGGCCCACCAAATTCTAGTGAGCCTGGCGTTCGTCTCTTTTCGGGGCTCTCGCTTTTTCGTGTCTTGCTCTTCCTCCCGCCCCCTTCCTCCCCTTTTCTTTTATTAATTTCCCTGTGTTTTTACGTTTCCGCTTTTCCCCGCCTTTTGCCTTATGTTTCCCTTCACGTTGGCCCAGGCCTCCGTGTTCTTCTTTCCCCGCCTTTTCGCCTTTTGTTTTCCCCCACTTCGACCTCGGTCGTTGTGGTTTTTAGCCTTCGCCTTTTTATATTTCATCCCCGTCTCATTAACCCGTTCCCGTTCTTTTCTCTGTGTATTCTCCCCCCGTCTGTCGAGCTCAAATCTTTCGTCTCCATGAGACAAAGTTTGATACCTCGGCGTAACTTTTCCTTCTCCCCCCACTACTTCTCATCCTCTCCGTCTTTGCCCCGTAGTTTTATCATGTAATAAACTTCTAACACTCTTTTGCCCACAACGAGTTGAGCATTTGAGCTTCCCCACACGCCTTGACTCTCTTCTTGTTGTGGTTTTGCGGTTGTGCCTCGCTCGTTAGCTTGGCACATACCTTCTTGCGTTTTCCTCCTACATAGGAGGTGGGGGCCGAACGTCCAGCCAAACCCCTGGGGCCTAGCGAAATAAAAGCTAGGTTTCCCAACTGGGGGCCGAACCGGTCTCAAACCGGCGCACCTCTCCCCGAAGAGTGGAAACTCGCTTGTCAGCGAGCGTACACATACGCAAGTCTATGCCCAGCAAGACTTTGGCAACGACGACGACTACAGCCGCTCCAGACTATTGTCTGTTGAGCGCGCACCAAGCAGCCTAGCTGTGAAGATGGACTCCAAAGCTACCGAATATAGGTGCTTTTCTCCCTTTTCGATATTCTTCGAAATGCGGATGAACTGTTCTAGCTCCCAAAAATCTTTGGTTGAGCGCCGCAGAGCCGAAGTCAGCGACACCCTGCTCAAAAACTCGCAAAAATGAAGTGAAAAAGACTTCATTTGCGCGAAATGAGCAGAAGGACGCAATATCTCAGGCAAAGCGGGGTGAACAGCGCAGATGTGTCTCGAAAAGCCGTCCAAAACCTCGGGACGTGCTCAAGGAAAAGCCCAATTCGAACGCATTCGATTTTCAAAACTCGAACTGCCGAACTCCTCTTCATCGCCGGCTACAAAGCCAAATTTTGTCTCCAACTTCGCCGAAAGAAGTTTGGAAAAGGCTACCAACGTCTCAAAATACTTTGTGCAATGTAAGAACATTGCCAAGTATCATTTCAAGGAAGCACCGACGAAGGAGTCGTTGTTCTGAAGCCAATCTGCAGTTGGTGGAGGATAAACACTCCTGGATACAAGTGAAATGCGTCGAGTTTCTCCGCATCAAGTTGCTCACGTTTCTTCAAGCCGCCATCAGACGTGATGGTTGGCCGGCCCTGCCTTCGCCTTCCTCTGGCCTTCGGGTAACACGAACCCAGCCAATCGCCTTCGCCTTTTGCCTTTATAGGACGTACAGCGTGCACGCTCGCGGCCTCGCCTTCGCCTTTTCTGGAGTTCCCCTTCGGGCTGCCGGCTGCTTCGATTGGCAGTTCGGTATAATAGATCCCCGGAGGTGGTTCTGCCATTTTTGCCTTTTTCTGGCCCTCGGGTAACACCAAAACCCAGCCAATTCCGCCTTTTCCGTTAACACCCTTCCCAAGGACGCCGGAATTCTCCGGTTTGCCTTTTTCCTGCCCCGACTTTTGCCCAAAACCGGTGAGGCTGTAACACCGTAAAAAACAGAACGTCTACGAGAAGCATCCGCGTTTTGAAAAAGGTTTTCAAACTTTTGAAACCTCGACTCCAGCGAAATAGAACCTTTATGCGATATAATAAAGTGATTCTCTTCGCATTTTGTTTTCATCTCGCGCTTTTTGCTCATAAAACTATGCTTTTGAGCGTAAACATCTCCAAATTTCTTCCGTGTCCCGCGAATTTTCAAATATTCCCGGTCCAAAGCGTGAAATTACTTTGAAATTGCTTTCAATTGTCCTCTACTTTTCGCTTTTCCTTGTGCGAAATCGTTTTAGGAAAGTTGAACGCGAAACAATTACGTCTCCCGCGTCTTTTGGCCCGTGCGCATGCGCGTCCACCCCGTCTTTCGGCATTTTTGGATGAAAAGGGCACCACCATCGCCCAAATCAATTCGCAAATTCATATCTCGCTTTTCAGCTTCGAAATTTTTCGTCGCTGCTGTGCTCGCAATTTTCCCCGCGTTTTCCTCGACCATTTTCTCGATTTGGCCAGCGTTTTCGTGCAAATCCGCTCTTTTCAGGAATTGATCAGCTTGAAAAGTTCGGCAACGCTCGTCGCGCGCTTTTTGAAAAGCCGCCCTCTTCTCGCCATTTCGAAACTGACGCGTGAAAAGCATCCAAATTTCCCTAGCTAAGAAATTTGAAATGTTTTTCAGAAATTTGCGCCCACTTTTTCCGCGTTTCAAGTGTTTTTGAATTTCGCAAGCCCAAAAACTGTCGCATCCCCGCGCAAAACGAAAGAATTTCGCGCTGCAATTGCTATTCTTCGACATGATGGCTTCTTGTTCTCAATTTTCGGTTTTCATTATCCGAACTTTGTTTAATATTCCTTTTCCAGGGCATCCAATTTCCCGATGCGCGACGTCATGTACCCGAGAACCTGACGCTCGCGCTCAAGGAATGTGTTCGACATCAAGATTTCGTGCCCACCTACATGCTCGACTACACGATGTTCGCGTTCAAGGATCTCAAGGTGCCCGTGTTCAACCACTGCCCTCGCTCGTGCTCGTCTACATGGTGAAGCTGCCGCCCGTTTGCCCGTCTACACGTTCGCCGTCAAGTTGCCATGCCCGTCTACACGTTCGCCGTCAAGTTGCCATGCCCGTCTACACGTTCGCCGTCAAGCAAGAATTAAGCAAGTACCCTTTTTCGCTCGCATTGTTTAATTCTCTATTCCCCTGTCCCTTGGCCCTGTCCCGTTCATTTGTATTTCCACTACCCTACCCGCCTACCCTGCTCGGATCAAGACGACTCCGCAAGGATTCAAGTCAAGCGTGCCCAAGCCCGACTCTTCGCCGACTTCAAGTCAAGGTCAAGGAATCAAGCTCGCCTCCGTGCTGCTGCTCAAGGACCAAGCTCGCCTCTTCGCCGATGCTCAAGGACCAAGTCGACTTCAGTGCAAGGACAAGCGTCCAAGGACAATCCGCAAGTACGTTTCTCCTGAAGGAAGGAAGGATGCGTACGCCATGCCCGTTTGTGCCAAGCCAACGTCGCCTACGCCAAGTCAAGCTCGTCGCCCCCGCCAACATCTTTTGCGTCGAGGGACCTCCGCTCCCGAGGGGAGGGTAGTTGGAATCCCCTTCCCTTTTCCCCCTTTCTTGCCCCTGTACGACGCGCAACTCGTGGCGCCCGTACCCCGTCCTCTTTCCACCCGCCGGCCCACCAAATTCTAGTGAGCCTGGCGTTCGTCTCTTTTTCGGGGCTCTCGCTTTTTCGTGTCTTGCTCTTCCTCCCGCCCCCTTCCTCCCCTTTTCTTTTATTAATTTCCCTGTGTTTTTACGTTTCCGCTTTTCCCCGCCTTTTTGCCTTATGTTTCCCTTCACGTTGGCCCAGGCCTCCGTGTTCTTCTTTCCCCGCCTTTTCGCCTTTTGTTTTCCCCCACTTCGACCTCGGTCGTTGTGGTTTTTAGCCTTCGCCTTTTTATATTTCATCCCCGTCTCATTAACCCGTTCCCGTTCTTTTCTCTGTGTATTCTCCCCCCCGTCTGTCGAGCTCAAATCTTTCGTCTCCATGAGACAAAGTTTGATACCTCGGCGTAACTTTTCCTTCTCCCCCACTACTTCTCATCCTCTCCGTCTTTGCCCCGTAGTTT